CCCAACGAACTAATGCTATCACAATCTGTAAGCCGTAGGCCGTAGGTTGTGTGCTGTAGACAAAGATATCTCAAAAACCCTTCAGTCTATTTTTCTGAAACTTGGCATTATAATAGCTTGTGTGAATATCTCCAGGGCATTTTTTTTATTTGGTTTGAATCATATAAAATTACTTTTTGGCCCCAAAACCACCCAAAATCAGGCTTTTCTAGTGTAGGTAATCTCTGTCCAGTTACTATACATGGTGAGTGACACAATTTGCATAGTAAACATTTTGTGTTATTTTTTTCTGATCAAATTTATTAAATTGTAGTTTCATAATAAGGAATGTATATTACTTGATGTGTTCATGTATGTTATGATGGTTTATCGCATAAATTATTTGTTTAATGATAGATTAAATCGTACTAATTTGAATTTATCACGCATGCGCATTTAGGCATAAAACGACCATTGGACGATATGGCAGTGTAATTCGATGTCTTAAATTTCGCTATGAAAATTACAGTATAATAATTGTTTTGATAGAATACAATGCATGATGTGTATTTGTGATTACATACGCGTGTGTTATGGAATGTGTGTTCAAGGTTAACCTCGATACAATGCTAGTAGTATCCCAGTGTCTTGCATCATGGGGTGCATTTAGTATGTTTTTACGGCGTGTCACTGAGAAAATATTAAACCGGTGCTGATAGTGCGACATTGCACTTGCCCTGATAAAATCCCTTTTCTATTACAGTGAACCAGTCTTGTTACAGTATTCCACTGACAATATACCAGCAGAGCTCAGTCCACCATCAGTTTTTACTGTAAAATGTCAATTGCTTCTGTAAAATGTTTTTCAAATTCACAATTTGTCAAGTCCTGTGGTTATGTATACAGTAAAAACCCTGCCTGTCTATGCTTCTAATGACTACTATCTGTGTCATTTTATTTATTAATCATAAGTTCTTCATGTATTATATACCTTCACAGTATCAAGATGGCAAGAAAGAGGAAGTGTTGTATTGCCAGAGCAGCAGCTGAATTTGGCACTGAAAGAGTTTAATATTTATTATGATTTAGTTGGCCAGAAGGAGAACTTTACAACACCAAATTATGAAGGTTGTCACGGTGATTATGGAAGGAAAAATTAAGTTCTTATATGCTTACTACATGCCAGCCTGGTTGTAAATGGTCTACTCCCCAAAACTGAAAGAAATCTGCAAAACCTTCCTTCAACCACGTGTCATTCCACCAATCAAGGGTTACTATATTACCAAACCACTGCAATATTAAAATATATGAATACATTAATTATTCATATTTATGTAAATCATAATATTAGTTTGCTTGAATTTCTGTGCCGTGATACAAGGGATTGTGTCGAACTGTCGTACAGTAATGGGAAATTATATTACAAATTACAGTAGATAATTAAAAAAAAAATACATTTTTTGTATATTATATCCATCGTATGATATCCTTTTTCGACAAAATGATAACACTTGTAAATTGCACAAAAAGCTTGATCAAGACAACAGGGACATTTAATAACTTTAAAAAAATATATTCAAACAAAAAAAGATTTAACTTCACACTTTTTTAGATCAAAAGTTGCAGCATATGTGCCTTTAACCTACCATGTGTGTTAATTCATGAACCACAGTCATTGCGACAGTCACTTGACAGGGGATCATTAAATGTATTATATAACATCATACGACCCCAGTTTTCCATTGCACCACTGCCATCTATGTCAACTACTACCATGTCTTGAATGAAATAACAGATATGAAAAATAAATATAGAAAATGAAAATAAAAGCATATTATTACATATGTACTGCAGTTTATTTTGATTCGTCCCTGAAATCAAAATCGGTATTTCCACACCCCATATGCAAATGTGGTCAGAGAACAAACAAAGTAGTCCCTTCAGGGGTACCGTTTTTTGAAATATAGCAGAAATAAACAATATTTAGAAATACGATATTTTTCCCTTGGGGTACATGAATATACTTGCCCAGTGAAATGAATTTTGAACAACAGTAATGGTACTTTTAGGCAGTCACTTACATGTATTTAGACTAAAACTAATTTGCATATCACCCATGCAATAATGTTTTCGGTATTTTCACAGTCGATATGCAAATAAACATGGTATTTCCGAACTATTTTTATTTTGTATTTTATTTTTGTCCGGTTCAAATCGTTCAGCAACATTTTTGGCATGTTAGGTGTACATCACATGGAATACTAGGATTGGGAGGAACTTAATGCATGTTGACCACCTCAAAACTGAAGGGCTCTCGACAACATCGAGGTACCAGGAGGTTTCTGCTGGCGACGTTGCGGCGTTACTTGGTTTAAAATAAAGATTACCAACGCCAAATGAGCAACGTTTTAACTGGTAACCGGTAACAGTGGCTCAGATTGTACGTCTGATTATTTTATTTTCACACACACAGTGAAACGCGTTCTACACTGACACACGTTGCTAGGGCGTAACACTATCTTGGAACATATTAATGGGCAATAGGGTTCCCGACCTAAATGCCATCCCGGTTTGTTGCACGTTCTTTCTTTAATATGAAATAATCAAATATGGTACATTTGTAATAATAACAGAACCCCCACACCCTTTCGCTTTGCTCGTGAAAGTACGGCCACAGGATACACCACATCACTCGTGAAAATAACTTTCATACGCAACAAAAGCCACAGGGAGGGTGTGGGGTTCTGTCATCCTTAAAAAATATAATTAAAACATTATCTTATTTGCAATGCAACCAATGGTTGCATGTATTGAATACTGGATCATTATATATATACATATTTTACATGCACTACTAATAGAGTAAATATGGTATATAAAAGAGAACTATACCAGTCTGATCTATTGTCATTATATTTCATATCTTTTGTTTTATTATTACTATATTTTTATTTTGTAATTGTGTTGTTGTATTTATCAAGCATATCTTATTTTGCATTATTTTGGTGAATACCGACCAAAAATTCAAATAATTAATGATAAATTAAAATGTACCAGTATTCATATTAAAAAAATAAATGGAAAAAAAACCTAAACTAGGATCTTATAATAATCAGATTGACATTTTGCAAGATTGAATAAAAATAACCTTATTTTCTGTAATTTTATAAAAAAATGCAAACAGGTGAATAAAATCACAGACGAACGACATAACTTACCTAGCTTTGGCAAAGGATACGTTATGTCCCGCAGATTTTCAAAATGTGATAAAAACTGCATTCCAATCTCCAAGACAAACCGAGTATCATTTAAGTCATCTTTGGTGGTCCAAACACGGAACTAATTAATTATGACATCACAAAGTCACATAGTTATAAACAGCTAACGACATAAATTGTATTACATTTGCACTTTCCCAGAGAAAATTTAAACAAATAATTTTTTTGGTGTGTATTAAGATTATTCAATACCACAAAAAGAAGAATTATGTTCAATATTCAACATTTTTTTCCCATAAGCTTATTAGTAACACCCCTAGTTTAATTAGTTAATTAAGCATCTACAGTTTGGTCGTTCGTATGTAGATTAGAATTTCAAACTTGACTATAAGTGTGAAGGTTTGGAATTTTATGAAAGTTTTTTGCATTTGAACCACAACTTTATATTAGTTGTTGATCAGTACCTTTAACCCCCACTAAGGATTTGGTTAGGATGGATATACAAATAAATGGTGTTTCAAGATATGAAACGTCTTTATTCATTTGATATGTTTGACGGAAAAGTTCTGAAAAGACGGTCAATGATTACCATTCCACTCATGAGTAATGTAGCAAAGTGATTTTTGCATTTATTTCACGTTTTTGTTTGTTGTTGTCATATATACTGTACTAAAACCAATGAGATAGGCCATGATGTTGACAGTTTTGAAAATAGATTAAAGCAAAAATTTATAAAAGATTTGTGGTCTCCAACCTTACATAAAAAAGAAAATAACAAGCTACGTACATATAACAATTTCAAATCTGAATACTCTTTGGAACCATATTTGGAATATGTAAATAATGTCAAACACAGAGTTGCCATCACTAAATTCAGAATTTTCTGCACATAAACTACCAATAGAGAAATTAAGGTATTTACAAGTACCACCAGAGGAAAGGTTATGCATGCTATGTGATGATCTAGCTGTTCGCAATGAGATGCATGCTTTCTTGCAGGAACCCAGAGATGGAATCTGCTAGGTGCTAATTCATGAAAGCAATCTCAATGCACAAAGAATTTCAAAGTTTGCCTAAGCAGATCATGTTTAAGAAACTGATGAGTTCAAAAGATAGTTTCATTGCCGGCAGTCTAGGAGTCTACCGGTATATACATAAAATCTTAGAAATTTATGCTAATTGTTAGACATCTTTTTAATTTTTATTTTATTATTGTTGTATTTGTGCGTTACTATGTTGGTTTTTGGCCATAAGTTATGTAATTTCTTACATTATTTCGAGTCAAATAAAATATAAAATATTCTATTCTATAATCATTCATTAATTGTAACTCATGGTATTTCAGTTAATAACAACATTCATGGTCGGTTCCTTGTAAATTACACTCAGCCAATATACATAATAGAGACAATATTTCATGTTTATTTATAATTTCTGAATGCCTGTAGCAACAGGTGAGGATAGGACAGCAATATAAAAAGTCAAAGGAACAATAGAGATGCAACCATGGAAGAAGTCTGCAGCATATTTCAAACAGTTTTTAAAAGGTAGCTGAGTGAGTGTGGGTGGGTACAAACGAGGGCAGCTATACAAGACAGATGAGAAATGTAAATGTAAATGTGACCATGACATAGTTTTTTAACTCCCAAAATACCCCCCCAAAATTATGTTAGTTAGTTAAATGGCACTTTTATTTGAGGGGATTTTGACCTCAGGTCACGCAACATACACACCGATAAAAGCACAAATGCCATTGCCAGTAATTCAGAAATCGGGAATTATATTGAATCAAGGTCTAATGAATGTAAGGGGTCGTATAGAATATATGTTGTATATGGAATGTGCAGTCTTCAGTAAAATTGATTCTACAGTAAAATCTAATCGTGTATTTGATGACTGACAAAATATTTTCACTGCATGGACCATACTATTTATTAGTACCAGTAATCACTATGCATGTTACCGTAACTTGAACAACAAAAACTATCACATTTGAAATCTATATTTTTTCAAAACTGCATATCACGTTATTTCGATTCAGACCAATAAAATGCATTTCACAAACATTACAAAAATACTTTATTAAACGTCATATGCAGTCATGACCAACAGAGTTACATGGCTAGTCTGAAATTGAGTGAATGCAATATCACTGCAAACAAGAGCATGCATGTCTGTGTATCATTCTGGTGCACTTGCATGACGCACATCTAATTCCAGCATAAATAACAAAATCTGCATAATGATTCAAAATTCATCATCATTCATTTCCTATACACACCTGTAAGAGAGACAGCTTCTTTACATTTAAAATCAGACACAACTACCGCCACCAGGTAGGTTGACATAGCGGCTGTTGTATTGAAGTACGCAGTATTCCATTCCCCTTGTATGTAATTCCTGATATTCGGCATATTGGACAGTGCAAATCTTCCCAGTCTGTGCTTCACTGTAATGTCAAAGGTCGCTTTCAGGGAAGGCTCATCGAAGCATGGAAATACAGCCCTAGCATAAGTGGGTTCCAGGTGTGTAGAAGCAATATATCTACAGACAGGTACATACAAGAAAACATACAACATGCCTTCAGTTGAAATAACAGTTTGAAAACAAAAAACACAATATACAACCAAAGCAAGTTGACATACATAGGTACTGGTAAACAAACTGTTTAAAACGTTCTATTATTGCAAAAGCATTTCCACATATAACTTTCTTTTTGTTGAGCAATTATTGATCTGGAAATTGTATTGTCGGCAAAATGTAGTTGAAAGCCCTTTCAATTTTGAGTAAATTTGGGCAAATATTAAATTTGGGAGTTATGACATTGAAGAGTATACTGTATACTGATCAAAACATATTGCATCATTTATTCAATAACTTATTATACAATGACTCCCATCATGCATTGCTGATTTTAATTTTGCTTTGAGCTCATTCTAAACACAACTAACCTACAGTGTAGGAAATACATAGATGCAATGTTCTAAGTTCATTCTCACACAACGTTTGTGAAATAATTGTTCTATGAATTCAAAAGTTAGGGGCCTTATGGTTATACAGAAAACAACTAAAAGTCTGGTGTTCATCTTAGACTAATCTTAATGGAAAATATTTCATATTGAATATTAATTTTGTAATATGATTCATCTTTGATCATTAAACAGATATGCGACTTGATGACACCCTAGAATGCTGAAAACTCAATTGCAAATGAATCTATGATAATAATGAGTAATTTATAGCTATTGGAAAGAAACGTTTTAGAAATCTTGCGTCAACTGTAGCATTAAAGCTGGGAAGTCGTCACCTACGCACGCGTCAGATGACCATAGTGTGTCATTGTTTACAAACAAACGTCTACCCATGAGTCTTTGCGTTTTTAACGTGTGTTGTTATCATAGCTTGGGACTCAATTCCTGTGCGTACACAGGTGACGACCCTCTCGCTTTAATTATTTATGCAGAGAGATACTTGCTCAGTGTAAGGCAACTTTAAAGTTGTTAGAATTTACACCCAAATCACACCCTCAGTCCCAATTTCACCCATAATTACCAATCACAAAATAGTTCTGTTCAGAATTGAAGATGTGTTTTTGTTTAAGACTGCTTAAAAATATAATATAGAGAAAAAGTGAAATGCTGTGGATCATTATAAAATTTTTAAAAAATTAGATATTGTCATGAAATAGCAACTATAGTCTATCCAAGGTACGTTTCAACAAAAAAATTAAAAGGATAAAGCAGAACAATGCATCCACGATCACGAAAAAAAACACTTCATTATGGTTCAGAACTGTTACAGGTAGAACATTTTACTGGTACTAAGCGACTGATAAAATGCATAATCTAACGGACTTACCTGGTTCCACTCAAACTTGCAATAAAACCCAACCACATGTTGTCGGTTGTCATATTCCCGGAATATTTCATGTACATTACATACTGGCGACCAACTTGTAGCGAATGCTTCAAGTTTATCACGAAAAAGTCAAACTTGGGTACAATGTTTGAGGCAACCACTCCCATGTTTACATCACCGTTCATGTCCGTGACTTGAATGGAGTCAATGTCAACACTAAGACTGGTGGCATGCAGTGTTACAGTATCTGTCATTTGATGACAGGTCACTAATATATACACCTCCCCGTCAAACGTGAAAAGGCGTTCCAAGTCCTCTTCGTCTAGATATGGTGTTAGTTTTATTTTATAGTTGGTTGGCTTCACATCGAGAGGAAGACACCGACTTAAAGATAGTTCCGCGGATTGGCGGTCAGGAGGTGAATTTTACATTAGGCGATCGACACCAATTACCAGCAGCAACGTTAAAATAAGAAAAGACAGTATCAAAAGGAACCTGACTCTCTTTCGAAGACAATGTCGATGATGAAATGAAGTCCAAACGACGTACCAATTTGACTCGGATATTTCCAGTGAAAACGACGGCATTTTTTTGGCCTGGAACCATCGCGTGTTCGTACGTCGTTGGTGACTTCATGGAACCCAGCTAACTTGCTTTGTAGCCGCAACATACTTTGTGGTTTGGTTCAAGTAAACGATGTGATCTGACTGCTTAAATGTTTCCGAACGACGTTGCTGTCCTCTACGATGATATCTGTCGTCAGCGTTTTCAACTGAACGAAATAAACAAACACTGCGAGCGCTATAACTCTATTTGTATTTGGTTAAAAAGTGATCTCTTGATGCCATATGGATAGCTTTATGAAGATGTTATTGCAACTATTAAACTGTTTCTTTGATGCCAATAGTTTTAATGCGAAAACTGAAAATACAATAATCTCCACAACTCCTTGCATTATTATTTATTTATTTCTCATAAAATATACACTGCAATGTGTCCAAATATCTGTATCCTCCGAGGATACTGAAAAAAGCAATAATCAGTTGACAATATTGTGACACATAACCTCTAATTAATTGTATTAGATCAACACTGACTCGGGGCATATCATTGTTTCGATTCGTTGAACGTGACAGTGACCTCGCAAAATAAATATTCTTGGGCAGTATCTTCGCACTCTATGCAAACAACAATGGTTATCTATATATCGTCGCTAGAGGGCGCTATGTCAAACCATGCCACCGCACAGTGGCGCTTCTGACCCATAACTTTTACATCTTCTTTGTTCAATTAGTTTTAACAAGTTCTCTTTCAATGTCGGTAAATCAACACGCGTTTTCCTTGCAAACCAATTTAAGAAATATCGCATTTTATCGCGGTGTTTTCAACAATCGAATGGAAGCGCACTGATGACGTAACGCATGTTCGATCTGTATGCGAACGCAACAATCATCACACATTGCGCCGTTGCTACAACACGTACAACCACCGTCTCATCTTGTCTCGCAAGTTATCTTTTCTGATTTACATCGTTCACTGGTAGAATTTCAATTCCCAACCCGGTAAGTGTATCATGATATTATTACTACCTTTGTTGTATGTTTACACGATTTTTCCAATCGTACGTCTCAAATACCGGGCTGAAATGTTGTTGGTTCAAGTTCGTTTCCATGTCCAGGAAGACACATTCGTTCGACACATGAACATGACACAGTCACAATCTACCATTCGTTATAGATTCTCGTAAACCTTCAAGTTGTATGTCTTTTTACTCACCATGATTACGTCATGCATTAATCATATACATGTACTAAATTAATTTCGTGTTCATTTCCAGAATTATAAGATGAATATCTCTCCGTGTCCCCCAACATCACCCAGTAATAATAGCACTCGTCGACGACTGTCTCGGAGACAGGAGCAGCAAAGGTCCATGAAAAACACTACCGATCATGCGATGTCTGAAACCTTGTTTGATTATGCTTCCACGAGGAAGGGGTCGTCACCACATACGATTAAAAGTAAGTTTTACATTGTTTTTAGAGCGGTGCATTTAGTTCCAACTTGCTCACGTTTTGTTCTTCGGAGTTTACGCGCGGTAGTCACGCGATCAAAATAGATTCCCAGCGCGCAGTAGTCTGACGAGTTGCGATATTACTGACTACAGTGCATTTATATTATGATATATTGTATGTACAAGACAGTATGTACATCATATTTTGAAATTACATTTGAAAAAAAAAAAAAAAAAAATACGTAGATGATATGTTCGAATTGCATTAACAGAAGCCATTACCTGTGTATAGTACTGTAGTTTCCTCGCTCTTGCTTTACCTATTTAACTTTCAACGGTAGAAAATAATGTGAATTAATGATGAAATTCGCGTTGTGTTCAGGTTAGGGGTGAACTGTACTTTTTGTCCGGATTGTGTATCTTTGCTGGACTCCGGGAATGACTGCCTTGCTTTGGCGTCGTCTACATGCATACCAAAAAAAAAAACTGTACTAATTGTTTGTGTTACATTAATTTGCAGGCGAAAGATGGATGCTAAATGGAGTCAGATCAGAGGTTGCTGACAAATACCGCGGTAGCAATATGGGTAGGACACCACCAACCTACTTTCCGGATATTAAAACCCCGCAATTCAAGCCACATCCACCCACTAGCGAAAAGGGGCTGGCATACGAAGATTCATTCCGCAATGATTCAGAGACAAGTGTGCCGTTCCTTCCTCCAATTGATATTCCCCGTCCAAAAAGAAGGGAGCGACCAAGTGCAGCTCGTCAAAGGCGCCGTCAACCGTCGTGCCCGCGCATGCCTGCAATCAACAGATACCCCGGCGTCAACCGTATGCCGGTATGTGATACCATAAACCCCGAATCACGAAGACGAGGGCTTATATTGGCCCGAAGACCTGGCGAGGTTCGCCTCGTCAGAGATCACCGCCACGATATGCACGCGAGGAAATCGACTCAAAATACCACCATTGTCGCGGAAGAAGACCTCTACGTGTTAGATAAACATATGCAAGAACTTGCAGAGAATGCCGCGGAAATGGAGCGTAGGGGGCATCTGAAAAAGAACATTTGGGTCACCGACACCCGACAATGGTAGAGGCCCCGGGAGTAGCGGTTCGTTTCTGGAACCATGTTTACAAAAAGACTACTCAAATTCATCGAGTAAGACCAATTGAACCTCCCCATACGCGCCTCATGTTATTCAAGGAACAAATAAATCAAGTACACGCGGATGGAACAATTCAATAGCTATGTGAAATACAGCTATTACCAACGGGCAGGCGGCGAAAAAGACCAACTACAACATCGGAAAGACACGTGACAACATCCGGGTGACACGTGACAATATTGTGCAGACACGTGACAATAACTTGTCTCTCAGCTTAATCACTGGGAAGGGCAATGTACATCTCTCCACGCTAGCCAGGAATCCACAACATACTACGTTGTTCTCTTGGCACCATTCATTTTGAATGAGGTATTCTGCAACTTGGAGTATGACATTGCTATTATCTTTATCATATACATTATATTAATAAATCTTGGAAAATTACTTAATATTGTCTGTGTTATTTTGTTTGTTATTACAGAACCGAAACATCCAATATTCCTATCCTGACATCGTATGTTGTCATTAGTACAATCGCCCACATGCAATAATTGCGAATTTTGTGAGTCAGTGCCCAGACCCTTATGACAGATTGGTAAATACTAGTAATTCCAGATAAAGCTAAGCTGGTGTCCCATCCATATTCGATATTATTCTTAGCCCAAACATAGACCCTATGACCCAAATAACTACCTGGGGCTGTTATCGTGTTTACTGACAAGACAAACGCTTTTTGAACAATTAATGACTAGACAATATAGGCATATCATTCAGTGAGATACCCACAACATATGTTATATATATAT